AAGAACCAATAGATCCGTTTTGGAAGAAGTGCAGCCAGAATGCTCCTTGGAGGTCAAGATGGCCAAACTTTGTCTCTCATACTTCGGACATATTGTCAGAAGGGACCAGTCACTGGAGAAGGATATCATGTTTGGTAAAATGGAGGGTCAGAGAAAAAGAGGAAGACCCCCAACGAGATGGATTGGCTAAGTGGCAGCATCGATGGACTCAAGCGTGGCAATGGTAGTGAGGTTGGCCCAGGATTGGACAGTGTTTCATACTGCTGTGCATAAAGTTGCTATGGGCCAGTACCAACTCGATGGCACCTAACAACAACAACACAGCCCACATCAAAGGGGCTACACCAAAAAAATTCCAAGAGGTAAAACCAGGGCAGGGAGCTATGGGAAAAATACAACAAAAGATATTCCAAATATATTTGGAGACAAGCTCTATTTCCTGCTCAGAGCACTTTACTCCAGATTCTACTCAATTTCAGGTCCGATGTCTAGGACTCAGGGAATAGTACTGTTGACATTTCATAACTTATTTCATAACTGACCTTTCCCCTGTTCCAGTCTCGGGTGTCAAATAGCAGCACTCAGAGAGATGCCACAGATGAGGCAAAAGGCAGAAAAGAGCCTCAAGCCAGTGAGCTCCCATCAAATCCACCTTTACGGAATTGATGTTACCAAATCTGAGAATAAGAGGGTCTGTGTGGGTTAAGATCAAGGCTGTGGCTGAGAATATGAGTCTCATTATTATACTTTCGTTGGTATTGGCATCTGATTGTCTTTCCCATAGTTTTATTTTAGGGAGAAAATGTGTCTGATAAACTCAGGGTCATATCTGAGGATTCAACTTTCCTTGAAAAGATTTGCTTTGCTTAAGAGCTAAAAATTGAACATTTCAAGCCCAAGGATTATGTGATTGAAAGAGTAGCTGGAAGAGTTTTGTAACATATTGTTATGTGTGCTGCAAATGTATCTAAAGCAATTGTGAATTATATTCTAGAAATAGACATCATTTTCAGAAATGCCTCTCATCTATATTGGGATCTGGGGGAAAAAAATGCTACTCAGGGCTTAGCGAGGGCTTCCTGCATAATAGTGTCTGTTCACTCAATAAACATTTATTGAGTACCATTCTGT